ACACACACAGAGACAGACACAGACATACACAAACACACACACACAGACACAGAGACAGACATAGACATACAGACACACACACACACACACAGACACAGAGACAGACATAGACATACAGACACAAACACACACACACACACACAGAGACAGACACAGACATACAGACACAAACATAGACACACACATAAACACAGAGATACAGACAGACACAAATACACACAGACACAGACATACAGACACACAGGCACAGGGAAGTATACATACACAGACACACATACATACACATGAAAATACACACGCAGAAACACATAGATACACAGACGCACACACACAGCCACACAGAGAAACAAAGACACACACACACAGATACACACCCAGAGACATACAGATATGGAAATATACACACAGACACACATAGAAACACATAGGCACACATACATCCATATACAGAACCACAGAGACACACACACACAGTTATACACAAATACAGACATATACACAGGCACACATAGACACAGTTACACACTGAGACACACAGACACATGGAAACACACACCCCCCGCACGTCCCTCTGAGGTGCCCTGTGGCCCCTCCCTTGCTCACAGAGCTCCCGCGGGTCTCCTGGCTGGGTGCCCACGCCCTCCGTGCTTTGCTCGTTTTCCTCCGTGGAATGCCCTTTCCCGGTTCTCGCTCCCTCCCTGCTTCCTGTCTTTCCTCAGATGCTGGTCTTCATAGAGAGCTGTTCTGTGGAAGCCGGATGAGAAAGCTGAACGTCTCGCTGTCCCAAGCCCCTTCCTGCTGCCGTTTCTCCAGGGCACCGGCGCCATCTGACACGCACACACAGTATTTGGACTGTGCCCGTCTGTGAGATCCACCAGAGTGAAGGCACCATTTCCGTTCGCCGTGACCTTGGCAGCCCCCAGAATGGTGCCTGGCTCATAGCGAGACCTCAACCCATACGTGGTGACTGAATAAAGTAAGACGTGATGGAGTGACCTGTGGCTGCAATCTCCATTTTCTGCAGAAAGGCCCCTACTTCACTGGCTTTGGTCTGAGTGTCACAGGAGTTTGCTGTTTGATTCGTTTCTACCAGGGACGGTGAGTGAAAATGGAAGAAACATCTGCAGCTGCTTACAAAGACGAGGACCTGCTCCACACACGGGCGGCCGTTTATCTGTGAGGCCTCTGCATGCTGGTGTATCCATGTCCACCTTACCTCACGGCAAGGCTAAATGCGGCTGCTCCACGGGACGCCACGCTCTCTGTGCCAAGACCCCGGGGAATTTCCTAAACTGGCATGGACCCGCCCAGGCCCAGGACCCTGCAGCTGGCTGCTTGATCTGTGTCCCTAGGTAAGGGAGCTGGTCCTGGTTCGTGCCCAGGAGGGTGTGCCCAGGGGTCCTTGCCACGGATGACCCCTGGAGTGATGTGGAGGGGATTTCTACAGGAGCAGATCTGTTCCCACAGCGACCAAGCACCATCTCAGCCATATCAGCCACAGGTTCCACCAAGCAGTGAAACAAACCAGGTCCCTCCAGATCCCCCTGCAGAAGGGATGCCCAGCCCTACCACCGTGTCCAGAGGCACCAGCCACAGCACCTCCCAGGACGTGCACTCCCCACTCCCCCTCCCCATATCTCTTAAACTACAGTACTGCCTGGTTGACTGATGCCATTTCTCCCTCCCTCCTGCGTGGTTCCCCTGCTCTCAGCCTCACACCCGCTGTGCACTCAGCATCTCCCCTCGGCTGCCTCATGGGCTTGTTCCACCCGAAGTGGCTTCTCCCCCGGAGACGCGCCTGTTCTCCCCTCTCAGCTCAGGGAGTGGCAGAATGTCCAGGTTCACAGGTCACAACACTCGTGTCATCCAGGACTCCTGTCCTTCCCTCCACACACACGTCCCAGACATCGGAAACCCCCGCTGGCTCCTCTTGCAAAACATACCCACCCCGGCCAGCACGCACCCCTGCCAGCTGCCCCCCGGCCCGCACACACCCCTGCCAGCTCCCCCCTCCCGGCCTGCACGCACCCCTGCCAGCTCCCCCCGGCCCGCACGCACCCCTGCCAGCTCCCCCCGGCCCGCACGCACCCCTGCCAGCTCCCCCCTCCCGGCCCGCACGCACCCCTGCCAGCTCCCGCCTGGCCCCACCACTTCTAGAGCGTCCCTGGAGGGTGGCAATGATCCCGACTGCGTTTGCCTTCCAGTCTACCCTGGCACGCCCCAGCCTGTCCCGGTCTATCTGTCACATAGCCCTGGGGTGGACCCATCTCTGCAAGAATAAAGCCAAAGTACTTCCGAAGGAAATGCAAGACTCCTCAGCAGCCCTCCACCACCACCCACGCCTTTCCTTCCACTCTCCCGGGATTCCCTCCCTGCCCGTCTCTCCAGCCTCCTGGAGCTGCTCCCACGCTGCAGGACAAGGCCAGCCCCGGGGCCTGGACACTTTCTCTCACCTCCGTGCAGAAGGCTCTTCCCAGACCGGCCCTGCCTTGCTCCCTCACCTCCTCCTCCTGACCTTCTCAGCAAGGCCTTCCCTCAGCACCCGTTCAGAGTTGAAACCCTTCTTCCTCTGCTTCCCTTCCCCGCCTTGGTTCCCACAGCAGGTCAATGGGCATGGCGGGCCCCAGGTTGCTCATGCGGGTGTCTGTTCTCTGCTTTCCCAACTAGAACCCATGTTCCCCGGTGCCACGGGTGCTCGTGGGGGGATCCCTGGCTCCCAGAACAGTGCCTGCCACATCTGTTATGTGCTAGTCAATATTTGTTGAATGAATAAAAAATTTTTTGGCCAGGTACCCTGGCTCACACGTGTAACCCCAAAACTTTGAAAGGCTGAGGCAGAAAGATAGCTCGAGGTAGGAATTTGAGACCAGCCTGGGCAGCATAAATGAGACCTCATCTGTAAAAAAGAGAAAATTAGCCAGGCTATCGTGCACACATGTGTAGGCCCAGCTACTCAGGTGGCTGAGGTGAAAGGATGGTTTGAGCCTGAAAGTTCAAGCTGGCAGTGATCTGTGTTCACACCACTGCACTCCAGCCTGGGTGACAGAGGAAGACTGTCTCCAAAATAAAAATAAAATGATACATTAGCTGGGCATGGTGGTGTGCACCTGTAGTTCCAGCTACTTGGAAGACTGAGGCAGAAGAATTGCTTGAACTCGGGGGCGGAGGTTGCAGTGAGCTACGGTCACACCACTGCACTCCAGCTGAGTGACAGAGCTATGACATTGTGTGATGTGGAGGAGATTTCTACAGGAGCAAATCTGTTCCCACAGCGACCAAGCACCCTCTCAGCCATATCAGCCACAGGCTCCACCAACCAGCAAAATACACCAGATCCCCCAGGAGAAGAACGGACTCCCCGCCCTACCACCATGTCCAGAGGCACCAGCCACTTGCACCTCTCAGGACACAGACGGCAAGACCCTGTCTCAGAAAAAAATAATGTATTATGAAATACAACAGAATTTATTCCTGCATCTCACTGGCTCATCTTGGTGCTCTCTAACTTCAGAACTTTCCGTCGGGTGTTTAGTTAATAACTTCACTTTTCTTCCTAGAAACCACAACACAGAATAAGCCACTGCGTCTCTGCAATATTCTCCCCGGGACGGGAGGACCCCATCCCTCGTCAGCCCCCTCCTTCCTACCCCTTCACCTTCGCTCTCCCCACACATCCATCCTTGTCTTCCTGTTGTGGACCACTCTCCACCCCGGGGACCCAGAGCCAAGTCTCCAACCCAGACAGAGGGAGGGGGACAGGACAAGGGGAGTAAGACACCAAGGAGAGAGAGAGAGACGTGGGTCAAAGGAAGAGGATGAGAAGAAAGAGTGAGGAGAGACCCACACCAGCAGAGAGATGCCCCTCTAAAAACCCAGACAATTACACCCTGATGGAGGCGGACAGTAGGAGGAAGAGCAAGTGCTGATGAACAAGAGAAATGGGGACGTGAACCAGCAACAGGAGCAGGAGCTGCAGGGAAGAGAGAGGAGGCAACAGGACAAGACCCTCACTCACCTGTGGGTGGGTTCCCTGCAGGGAACAAACTCAGCAGGGACGCCTGCGGAGGAGATCCTAGCGTCAGAATCATGCACTCATCCTCCTGTGTTTGCTCCCACTGGGTCAGGGGGTTAGGAGGAGCCCCAGCCCCGACCTCCTTCCTCAGCCCCTGCCAACTCCCTGCCAGGCTGTGGAGCTCACCACACCCTCGGCCTCCAGTGGCCCCTCAGGCTCAGGGAGTGTGGCTCACACAGACCACAGCCTCCTCTTGGAGGGAGAAACAGGCTCAGGGAAGGAGCTCATGCTGGCAGAACTTCCTCCCAATGTCCACACAGGGACTTAACACAGACACGGGGTGAGGAGGGGGAGTTGACTTCAGACCTCAGCTCTCAGGGGACCCCATAGACTTCAACCTCAAAGAAACAGAGCTTAGGAACAGGACTAGTACTGGGGCCACTGGGAGTAGTGTGAGGAAATACAGGAAGGGAGGGGGCCACAGCGCCCTCTGGCACAGGGATACACAAATGCCTTGAAAGTTCCCTGGAACTCTGCCACCTGCTCAGGCAATTGGGCCGCCTTCTCCTTCCAACGTGCTGGGATTACAGGCATGACCCACCACGCCCGGCCTGTTTTTGTTTTTGTATTTGAGACAGGGTCTTGCTCTGCCGCCCAGGCGGAGTGCAGTGGCACAATCACGCTTCACTGTCACCTGGACCTCCTGGGCCCCAGCTGTCCTCCCACCTCATCCTTCCGTGCAGCTGAGATCACAGGCACGCACCACCGCATCTGGTTAATTTTTGTATTTTTAGTAGAGACAAGGTTTCACGATTTTGCCCAGGCTGGTCTCGAACTCCTGGGCGTGGGTGATCTGTCCACCTCAGCCTCCCAAAGTGATGGGATTACAGGCGTGAACCGCTGCACCCAGTCAAATCCATCTTTTTTATTTTTTAAGCTTCAAGTCTTTTAGATGACTAAAGTCATCTTTTCCATTCAAAATTTCTTCCAAAACTCAATCCATGGTGACCTCAGCCTCCCATGAAGCCCTGCAGACCTATCATCTGTACCTTTGGAGACATGATGGTCTTGTGACAGCTCCTCTACTGACATCATTGTATTTTACAGGATGAACTTGATCATGTGCAAACGAGGAAACAACCTATACCACACTGTTTTTAAATATGATATCCCAATTCTTCTTTCTCCATCTTTTCATGGTATCTCATGGAGATTTAAGAGTTGTTTGGTCACTTTGAGGGGTAAGATGAAGGCTTATTTGTACATTCTAAAGACCAGATCATTGAAAACCAAAACTTGGATTTCACATTCTATTCAATGTTTTTCCCCTTGACTCAGCCTAAATCAACACTGCTTGGACTTTGGAGACCCACAGTAGGAAAAGAATAGTCTATTAATAACAATTACATCGTTTATCCTTTAAGATTTTAAAGACAGGGGAGGTGTTTTTGGAATGTCAACTTTTCACAAATAAATTACCAGGAAGTCTGAACTGATGCCTTCTTTTTATTTTGGAGACTACCTTGTGTAATAGAGACATTCTCTTTTATTTTAATGTGTAAGTCTAATTAATTTTTTGATTGGCTAATGGCATTTTAATTTTAGCAGTATAATAAAAGCAGTAACAGTCATAGAAATGTCTATGAGATGTCAATATTGATGTTTCTTTGTTAGAAATGATTTTTAATGCTCATCCTATTATTATTGTTTTTATCTTTTAAAGACAAAACCTTCAAACTGTTCTTCACAGTGATTGTACCAATTTACATCCCCACCAACAGTCTACAAAGGTCTGTTTTTCTCCATGCCCTTACCAACCCTTGTTTGACTTTTTCGTAAAAGGCCAAGTGATGTCTCATTGTGGTTTTAATTTGCATTTCTCTGATGATTTGTAATGTTGAGCATCTTTTCATATACTGTTTAGCCATTTTTATTTCTTCTTTAGAGAAACATCGATATGGGTCCCTGCCCATTTTTAATCAAGCTATTTGTTTACTTCCTATTGAGTTGTTTAAGCTTCTTATATATTTTGCATATCAACCCCTTATGTAATGTATGACTTTTAAGCATTTCATTTCCGTCTGCTGACTGCCTTTTCATGTTGTTGATGGTTTCTTTTGCTGTACAGAAGCTTTGTAATTTTGTGTAGTCCAACTTGTTTATGTTAGTTTTTGTCATCTATGCTTTTGGTGAGATATCAAAAAGTTCTTGCCAAGGGCAATAACCAAGAGCTCTCCCTCTATATTTTCTTCCAGAATTTTGGTGGTTTCAAGTCTTATGTTTAGGTGTTTAATTCATTTTGTGTTGACTTTGTGTATGGTGTAAGATAAGGGTCCAATTTCATGGTTTTGAATGTGGATATTAGGTTTTCCCAGCATCATTTATTGAAGAGACTATCCTTTTTTCTCCGTGTCTTCTTGGTGGCCTGGTCAAAAATTAGTTGACCATGTATGCTTAGGTCAATTTCTGGGATCTCTATCCTGTTCCATTAGTTTATGTGTCTTTTTTTTTTTTTTTTTAATGCCAGTACCATACTGTATTGATCACTATTGTTTTGTGATGTAATTGAAAATCAGGAAATGTGATGCCTCCAACTTGGTTTTTCCTTCTCATGATTGTTTTGGCTACTCAGGGTCTTTCATGGTCCCATACAAATTTTAGAATTGTTTTTTCTATTTCTGTGAAAAACACCATTGGAATTTTGATAGGAATTTTATTGAATCTGTAGATTGCTTTTGGTAGTATAAACATTTTTACCTCATCTAGTTGGGTAGATGATGGTTAAAAAAAAGCAAAAATGTATGCAACAAAACAAAAAACATTTTTTATAATATTAATTCTTCCAATTCATGAGCGTGGAATATCTTTCGATTTATTTGTGTCTTCTTCAATTTATTTCATCAGTGTTTGAGAATTTTCAGTGTACAGTTCTTTTGCTTCCTTGGTTAAATGTATTCCTAAGTATTTTATTATTTTTGATGGTTTTGCAAATGGGATTCTTTTCTTGATTTCTTTCTCAGATTGTTGTTAGTGTAAAGAAATGCTACCAATTTTTGTGTGTTGATTTTGTATCTTGCAACTCTACTGAATTCGTTTATTTGTTCTAACAGTTTTTTAGTAGCATGTTTAAGGTTTTCTACGTATAGGATTATGTCCTCTGCAAATAGGAATAATTTAATTATTCTTTTCCAATTTAGATGACTTTTACTTCTTTTTCTTTTCTGATTGCTTTTGCTAGTACTTTCAGTACTGTGTTAAATAGAATGGCAATAATGGGCATCCTTGCCTTGTACCAGATCTTAGAGGAAAAGATTTCAGTTTTCCTTCATTGATTATGATATTTGTTGTGGGCTTTTCATGAATGACTTTTTTATGTTTAGGAAATTCCCTTCTGTACCTATTTTGTTTAGAGCCTTTAAAAAAAAATCACGAATAGGCCAGGTGCGGTGGCTCACGCCTGTAATCCCAGCACTTTGGGGGGCCGAGGTGGGCGGATCACCTGAGGTTGGGAGTTCGAGACCAGCCTGACCAACATGGAGAAACCCTGTCTCTACAAAAATACAAAATTAGCCGGGTGTGGTGGTGCACACCTGTAATCCCAGCTACTCGGGAGGCTGAGGCAGGAGAATCGCTTGAACCTGGGAGGTGGAGGTTAGAGTGAGCCAAGATGGTGTCATTGCACTCCAGTCTGGGCAACAAGAGCAAAATTCCATCTAAAAAACAAAACAAAACAAAACAAACAAACAAAAAACCATTAATGGATGTTGAATTTTGTCCCGTGCTTTTTCTGCATCAATTAAATTAATCATGTGGTTATACCATGGTGTATCACATGGATTATTTTGCACATGTTAAACTAATCTTGCATTCCAGGGATAGATCTAACTTGGTTGTGGTGTATAATCTTTGATATGTTTCTGAATTTGGTTTGCCAGTTTTTTTTTTTTTTTCTTTTGAGACAGCATCTTGCTCTGTTGTTCAGGCTGAAGTGCAGTGGTATAAAGGTGTCTCCTGGCAGCCTTGACCTCCTGGGCTCAAGCAATCTTCCCATCTCAGCCTCCCAACTAGCTGGGACTACAGGCGTATGCTACTGTATATGGCTTATATTTTTAAATGTTTTTGTGGAAACAGGATCTCACTATGTTGCCCAGGCTGGCCTCAAGCAATCCTCCTGCCTATGCCTCCCAAAGTGCGTAGAATACAGGCGTGAACCACTGCACCTGGCCTGGTGTGCTAGTATTTTATTGAGGATTTTTGCGTATATGCAAATATGGATATTTTTGCACATGGATATATTTGCAAAATGCTCTATGGAGCAGGCAGGATCCCCACCCTCCTGTGCGGGCTACAGACACCCACACTGCAGCTGTGGATCCGAGCCTCCCTGAGCGCCTTGGGAAGGGCCGGGAGCAGTCAGGATCTGCCTTCTGGGTCGGGTGTGGCTCTAGCTGCCCTCCTGGGTGCAGGAGCCAGGCGTCTCTGCAGCCTGTACCTCGGGGGCCCCAGGAAGGATCCCCCAACCTGCAGGCTCAGGAGTATCTGCCTGGCCCTGGCCTCTCTCCACTCCTGGTGCCTGCTCTGATCTCAGTGCGGGTTAGGGCCAAGCACTGGGGCCATGCATGGCAGCAGGAGGCAGACAGAATCCTGGGTGGAAGGCGGCATGTCCCCAGTAAGGCCCCACCTCCAGGCCAGGGAGCACCCAAAGGCTGGGAGCCCGGGCTGCCATTCCAGCAGACCAGAGTAGGGACTCCTGGTGCCTCTTCTGGGCCCAGCATGGCTGCCCATGGGCCAATCAGCACACCCTCCCTCCCCTTTGAGATCCCTAAAAGCCCTGGGCTCATCCAGAGCCGGGTAGAGTAGGAAGAGGAGGAAGAGGAGGAAGAGGGGGAAGAGGAGGAAGAGGAGGAAGAGGGGGAAGAAGAGGAAGAGGGCAGACAGACCCACAATGGGACTGACAATGAGGACTGATTGCAGCGAGGAGCACCCTCTCTGCTGAGAGCTTCGGAGACATGCAGAGACACCACGCCTGTGGAGAGGAGAGGAGCCACCCGCTCCAGGGCCTCCTCCGAGCCACC